TCTCTTATACACATCTAGATGGGTATAAGAGACAGATACTGTACTTTCCATCATGATCTTAAACTCTTATATATGGTGATGTCTGTAAATTCAGGCTTCGGCGATGGACATCATTGCGATTGTGATTGGTGGTTTGAAACCACTGTGCTGTGATAGCGCCATAGGAATCTACATGTTACATGTTAAATTTCAAAAACCCTTTCACGACGTTTACCCACCCACCCTCTCATTCTACCAAATATATGAGGCGTGGAGGCGGTATGAGTTATGAATATGAAATTAAATTTAATGTCAATGTGTGTAATTGTTCATAGCAAATATATTGTAACACTATTAAAAATACAACTACAGGTAATGTATGTCCGTGTACATTGCTAAGTCTTTCCTTACTGTTATTCCAATTTTCACTAACCGCGAAGGCTCTATCAACTAAACACAAAATACTGTACTGTACATGCCGCATGCCGACCTTAAACTCTTATATAGGGTGATGTATGCAAATTCAGGCTTCAGCTATGGACAGTATTTTGATTGGCTCGAACTATGCGGACTGATTATTAACCACTCACTGTACTATGGTTAGTGTAGCAAACCCTTTCACCATCAACTTTGTACATTACAGCACAAACACTCACTGGAACTTTCTCTTTATGTAGTACGTTATATAGGTCACATGATGCTTTTTCATTTTGTTTTCCCACTCTAATTGGCTATAGATAAGAATATGCATGTCCGCAAAAGCTTAGGAATCGTTCTTTCCGCCAAAATCTATTGCGGACTTAAGATGCCCAAGTGTGCTGAGCACAGCAAAGTAAATTTCGGCTGACCGATTTTGGCTTATGTGGACTACTTTTGGCAGGTAATTATGAGGCCAAAGTCGGTCTGCCAGACCGATTTTGACCCCAGACCAAATTTTTTCGGACAGGGCTAAAGTGATCAGGTGTTCTCACATGCACCATTGAATACTGGAAAGCTCTAGTGTGAACCAGGCTATAGAGAACATGTAGTAAATGTAAGTACTGTAATCAACAGTACAATGTTGTGTACCTTGGGGTAGAATACTACTAGGCCCATTATCATTCATATGCTGTATCAATGATATCCAGATTCAAGTATTTTCCAATCAGTGTCTAAATTTGAATGTTAGGGTAGGGTAGAAGTGATAGACTGGCTAATGATTTTTGTTGGTTTTTTTTTTTTTTAGATTCTAGGCAAGGACAAGTTGAGAATACTTTTGTCGGACTTCGAACTACCAGGGGCATCACAGCAGCAATATCTTAGACTTCTTGAAAAGTGAGCTACAGTTTTATATATTTTTTTTCAGATTATTGTAGACAATTATTATAAATTTCCCACCATCTATTATATTATATATTTCTTTAAAAAGAGAATTGATAAAAAAAAAAAAAAAAAAAAAAACAGATAAGAAAACTAAATAATATGACAGTGTAAAATTTGTCTTATCATTGCACTACTTTCTTAGAAAACTATTGTTTATTTTTATTTTCCTTCCATCACACAGTACAACACACAATAAAACATAAAACAAAGACAAAGAGGGTGGCAGAGGAGGGGCAAAGGTTGTATGTCCCTTCAACTCCAACTTCTAAAACATTAAACTTCAATCATAAAAATGGCTTTAAAATATAGGATTATTATTGTATGAAAATTCAAAATACAGAATAAACAAAATTCAAGCAATTGTGACTAACGCTTGTCTCACTGCTGTTTCCTTTGGTGTAGGAAATAATGCCAATAATTTAATCAGGTTGTATTTATCTTTAATGTACAACGATACTTTAAAAGAAATACAACAAACAGAAATGATGATGTTCCATGGTAAATTTAGTAAAATAAGTACAACCTAATAAATCAGTTAATTAGGACTAGTTAATGCGTAGAGATACTATAATACTTGAATATAATACTATAAACTTGAATGGTTAATGCAATGAAGAAATAACTGATAGCACCTCTCTATGTCTTTACTACCATCCCTATTCTGAAATGGGCTATTTTTTTTTTGTTAATGGTATTTCTTCCTACTGGCATTTTTTTCTTACTGGCATTATTTCTGATTTCACACTTAACTACATTTGTTTCTCTTCACTGACCAGGGGAAAAAAGTGCCTTCAGCAGTTCTTTTGAAATGGATTTGTGTGTTATATAAATCCTATTAAATGAAAAGAAATGAAAATTGAATTATTTTTATTTCTGCCTATATAGGTTTGATATTGCATTGCCTATTAGTGATAGTGAGCTTCTGATACCATGCAAGATGCCCAACAAGCATCCAGCAATTACCCTACCAGTTAGAGCCAGGAAAGGTGAGGCAACCACAGTTTATTACTAATTTTTCTATCAATTCTTTATCAATTACTTATATCAATTCTTCTGAATTTATTGTTGATGATGCAGTTCTACAATTGTTCTATAATTGATACTCAGAAATTGGAATTATGAAAAACATTATTTATCCCTTTAGCAGGTGGAATTGATCAATGAAATGTTGTTATTCTGTCTCTTATACAGATCTCAGCAACTATGTTCCATACACACCATTCAGATCTACATCCCAATTCCTCTGTTCAGGGGCGGATCAAGAATTTTTCAAACGGGGGAAGGGTGGGGGCTTGGGGCACAACATATTCAGAATAGATAAGTCAGAGTGCTAATTTCAATATCTGCCTTGAAATTTTAACATTTACTGACAAAACAAGGGGACCTGTGCCCCCCTACTGGATCTGCCCCTGCTGTCAGCTGCAACAACTCGCCCTTCACTCTATCAAATAATTTGGCTTCAGGTCTCTTGAATTCTCTGCTGCAGATTTCTGGAATAAACTCAGCCTGAGTGTTCTAACTGCGCTATTGGTCAGTTCCTTCTTTAATTTTTTTTTTTTATTTAGTTTTTTTGTTTATTCTGGCAATTGCCATTTAGTTTCCACCCTTTCACTCTTCTCTATATTTCTGGAAAGTACATCCATGGAGGCTCTAGAGCCTGTGCTATACAAGCACAATTAATAGATAATAAAAATAATAATTTTTAATTTGCCTCTAAACCCAATCATCTTTGAAGCCATTGATTCAGATTCTATTCTTTTTTTTTTTTACTTTAAAACACGTCAATCCCTTGCCCCATGCATGTTTCTGTCTCATGGTATTGTGGTAGGTGCTAACACAGTGTATGGCATGCTTGAAACATTTTTTAAGCCTCTTAGTTTCATCTTTTTCAAGTGTAGTATACTTGATGTTTGGTGTTAGAAAGAATGGTTGTATATGAAATTATATATTGAATGTTATTTTTGAATAATCTGACTTAAAATTGCATTTTGAAAGGAACTAAATTGTGTACTTATATCCTTTTGCCAAAGTTTGTCAACATGTCTTGAATCAGAAAACCCACGGCAAAAGGGCATAACTGACATTTTGAGCGCAAAAATCAATATTTATAGAAAAAATGTGTGCTACACTGGAAGAGACATTATTTGTCTATTTGAATACATTAACCATGAAATCAAATACTAAAACACATTTTAGGGCTAAATAAATTTCACGTTTTGCTTAATATCTACAAAACAGCAAATTGTCTGTTATGCCCTTTTGCCATGGGAGGGCAGTATAATTTTCCATCAATAATGATTTAAACCAACAGTTTCCAAGCATTTCATGCTAATGGTACCAAAGAAGAAGGGAAGACGTGCTGTAGTGTGTCCTCCACACACGATTGGTCCACCAGGTATCCCAGCATGCCCTTTAAGTTAGCACACTACTATTTATAAGATATGACTTACTATATGCATGACTGCCATAATAATGATGATAATTCCAGCACGCCCTATAATTTTGCACACTAATATTTATAAGATGACCTACTATGCATGGCTGCCATAATGATGATAATCCCAGCATGCCCTGTTATATTTTGCACAATACTATATATGGATATTACTTAGGCATGACGCATCAGTATAATGTATTTATATTGCACATACAGTGTGTATAGTAGTGCAAATGGAAGACGAAATGTATATGTAAAAGTTAATATGGGTTATGAGTAAAAGTTAATATGGGTTATGATATGTTATAAATGCAAGAGGTTTTCTTTTTTTAGTTATAGGTAATTTCTTTTAATTATAGTAATTTTAATGGGATAGAGATATAGCTTTGTGGTTAATATATATAAATACAACATAGTTTAAGGTGAAGCAGTGCATTCTACTTCCTAAGGCTTTGGATGATTGGGACTACCTCCCAACGTGAACCAAATAAAACCATGTTGTATTTGGTTTAATACCTCATAAATGTTAAATAGCAAACCATCCTCCTACATAACCATTTCAGTCTATGAGGTAAAATTGCACAGTTTGCATATGCTTCACTTAGGCAGGGATGAGGTAGTCGATTTTGGGTAGTACTTTTTTCCAACACATACACGTTAATTTTGGCATGCATAGGAAAGTTGTAGAAACTACCGCACCCCTTTAGCAGGTGGAATTGATCAATGAAATGTTGTTATTACCTAATTAATGTTTGAGGTATAGCAATTAATTTTACCTACTACACAAGCTCTGTGTGCTAGAATAAAGACAGTATTATTACATTTTATCCACCAATTGGACCCTGAGCTAAACTTTTAACACCATTATATATATATATATATATATTATTATATGTATCAAATCATGTATGTGGCTGCACCAGCAATGATAAACTAATAGTAAAGGCATAAACCAGATGTGTACAGTTACTGTAAATTTTAAAGGTGAAAAACACACATCAGTTCACTATGGAACATATGCTAATCCTTGATGATTAAAACCAAGGCAATTCAACAGAAGGACGCACATCTCGGAACATCAAAGGTTATAACTCTGGCATCGACATTCTAGGCGCATGTGCGTCCCTACACGCTGAACGTCACAAAAACCATAGCAACCAGACCATAAACGGTCAGCGTACGTGACGAATTACCCACGCGTGTGTTAGTTGCCATGATAATTGCATGTCGTGCGGTGATTACAAAGGCCTAATGATATTTTGCACTAACAGACTGAAATATATTCTTCATTTCAACATTAATTTTACCAAAATTGTTGAGAATTGTTGTTCATGAGACTCACTTCGCAGAAAAAATTAATAAATGTTCTGTATATACTCAAATGTTCATTTTCGGCACCTTATGCCAACATTGTCAAAATGACAGATTAATGTTACATAAGAACATGAAATTTTATAAAATTCTTAAATTTTAAATTGCTATAACTTTTCATTTTCTTGGTCAATTTTCACAAATCAAATTGCAGTTTATAAAAGCATTTAACAAGCTCACGGTCAAAAAAAATCAGATGTAACAGACATTGCGATGTACCCAAAATTAATAAAATAATAACTAACACCATAAAACGAATGGCCCGCATAGACTAATAATTGACGGCTGTACTCGCAACTAGTATCGGATTGTCGATGCCACAGTAAAGATCAAAGGACTGTACGCAGGCGCTATATTCGAGAGTGGAGATGTGCGTCCTTCTGTTGAATTACCTTGTTAAATCATACATCCCTTCAAATGTACATATGATGCAAATTGAGATGAAAATATAAAAAGATTGGACATTGAAGTTTGTTCAGTTGTGCTAATATTTCAATTTATCATTATTAATGTAAGAAAACTATAAACCCAGTAAGGTATATATCACTCAGTAGGTAAGTATAGTAATATATATAAGAATATAAAACAATGTTTATTATCTGTCATTTTAATATGTCCCTTTATCCCAATTTCTTGAGAACAAAGGTCACATATGACAATCATGATATACTGTACAACTAAAGGATGTTCAATTTCTTTCATCCTGATCAGTTCTGTTGAGCCGGTATTATGACATGCCTTACATCCCAATTGGCCTCTGGTCCAGACTCATTTTGAGAATATTACTCTTTGCTCAAGACAGGGTGATGCAGGTAAGAGAGGTGTCTTGCTCTGCAAGAATCTGTCCTTACAGAATGTATTGTTGTGTTCTTAAATTGTTTTTCAAAAATATGCCAGCTGGTTTGCAGTGCTCTTACAATAATTACAGATATGATTTGTATGGTTGTTGCATGTAAATGAAATTAAAAATATAATAAAAAACTTATTTATGATAAAGGAATTGTCATCATTATTGCCATCATCATTATCATAATTATAATCTTCTGCATTACCCTTACGATTGAAATTGCTTTATCATTTTAATTATTGTTAATTTATTTATATATTTTTTTCATCATTACTTAATTTATATAATAATATTATTATAAGAAGTTATTGGGGAATAAATTATGTAAGATCACTGAATATGTATTTTATCAACAGAATCATAAAATTCACATCATATCAGAACTATGCTAAAATACTTCATTAGTGGCCATTTAAACATTATTTTATTTAATAAGATACTGTATCCACTGCAGTTCTTCAACCCCATCACCTTGATAACAACATTTTGACAAATTTACTATTCCCAGCATGTAGCTCTATGCTAGGCTAGGTGCAGTAGATATAATACCTAGTCATCACAAAATACACTCTAGGTCCTTTAGTCTTACAAAGAAGGTGTAGGCAGGCTTAATGGGGCCCATGGATTATCCTAGCCAGCATTTTAAAGCAATTTATTTCATACTTGGTGGCCTTTATATATCTTAGCAGAGAATTTCATATAAAATTTCTTCAAATCACTGGTAGGATTATACATGGGAAGTGTTTATACCCAAGAAAATATGGTAGTTTATATCTATATTATTGCTTCATATTTAACATTTCTGTTTTGCACATTTCATGTGTGTGTGATCATAATGCTTTGCTGCTAACATCATTCATCATCAGAATGATGAGATTTACAACTTAGTCTGCAATTCGATGAGCGCCACAGATGACGGTCTTTCGGTAAGCAAATCATATTAATTCAAGATTTTTTTGTAATGCTTTTATAATATTATGCAAATTGTTTCATCTGGTTTGCTTATTGTAACTGTAGAACTGTATGATTGATGTAAGATGTAAACTCACTGCATGTTTTCGTCTAGGAAGTCATGTTGATAACATTGACGAAAGTTTGCAGTATGTGTATATCCATTGTGCTTGGTTTAAATTATTGATCAAACAGTTCTACAGTAATTGTAATATAAGGGAGCTTTCGATATGCGTGATGACACGATGCTAGAACAGAATCAATCATGTGTGACCATCCTACCGGGTGTCCTATGTTCTCTGCATACATAGATTTGGCCAAATTGCATCCTAGAATCCACACGACGAGGAGAACTTAATAGTCTATTTCGTGAATACTAATAATAAACCGACTAATTGCCATTGTTCCCAAAACGGAACACCCCTTCGAAATAAAATGGAACAGTCCGACCCAGGGTGCCACAAACGAACCGTCTCCCTAACAAACGTCCTCTTCCCTATTCAACTTTTGTTGAAAGAGAACCTCCTTTGTGTATTGTTAGCCACAAAGTGCTGGACCACGTGTCTCGTGTTTTCGCTACTGCGAGAAGAATTCTGGATTTTTACTTTTCTGCCTTGGAAGTGGATTTTATTTTCAAGAAGTTGTTGAATTCTGGATTTTTACTTTTCTGCCTTAGAATTTGATTTTATTTTCAAGAAGTTGTTGGACGAAATATTCTCAAATGCGCAGATGACATTTAGTGACATCATTACATTTTACGTTTTACCGTTGTCGTGCAATCAAAAGCTCTCTAGTGTTTTCTGGAATTGTTAATTTTATATAAAGTCATATAGCATAAAATATTTGAAAATGCCATTAATAAATATGCAAATATGCAAGTACATTCTGCTAGTTTTTCAATTATATTTACATATTATCATCACAGTTTATAATTGTAAGACATCCTAGTGATTAATGTAACAAATGATTAACCAATGATTGACAATCCATCATGACCATACATAGGCACATCATGATTATATATCGGCATACAACAGTTTGATAGGGTGGACAGCGCTTTAATCAATTAGGCCATTTTTATTTGATTAAATTACAAATATTAAAGTGAGTGAAAAGAATTACTTGCTATCAAATTAAAGTTTACCACTACAACCAGGTGACATCTGCAAGTATGGCAAGACACCTAGTTTGAATACAGGCGGGTGTGGGTTCATACCTGAACATTTTCTTCATTGTCAATGTTTTACAATATGCGGTGAAGACCAGACAAACCAGTCACTCCTCTCAATTCGTGTTTCATAGATAATGACTAAAACTTGTTGGAATGTCAACATTTTTGAAATCTATTTTATTCCACTAAGCTGAAAACTTTATACTGTTGGCACACTTGATTATGGTACTGTTTTTTACACATGCCATGAGGGATACGTTCCCAAATTCATGGAAAATTTACAAAAAGAGAGTAATTAATGCATATGTTTTGACAAGTTTGTTTTTAAATATTAAGGATTCTGGAGATTGGGCATTAATGATAAAGTAATAAAATAATCAAAATTAATTAAAGCACTTAACTATACTATGGAATTTCTTTCTTTGAACTGTGTCATGTAAATTAAGAATTCTAAGCCTATCAGAAAATTTACCTCGACACAGTTTTGTAACACATCTTTGTGATTTGTTATGTTGTTGTAATGGTTTATTAATGATTATAGAATTTGTATGTGTCACAAATGCCATGCGAATTCACCAGTATTCAATTTGCAACAAATTCAGAAATTTATATTATTATTGTATTTGCTAATTGTTGTACAGTAGTTAATACTGTTGATGAAATGAATTAAAGAAATATGATTTTCATTACAGAAAATGTTTAAGAGCTGTAATATGAGAACTGAGTACTGGCGTGAAGGCATCTATGTTTGCTGGTCAAAGGTAAGGAGTAAATTATTACCTTAATTATTTTTTACATATTTTAATTTATTGATAAACAAAATAGAATTTCACTTTATATGAAATAAGTAAGGAAACTTGAGGTTAAATTGATATAATGCTTACAGTAAATTTTTAAATTACATGGGGAAATTTAAGGCATAAAGAATTTATAAATTTAAAGAAATAAATATTCCAGAAATATGCAATAAAAGATATAGTTTTTAGTGTCTTTTACCAATATATTTTGTTGTTTTGTATTTATCATTATTGTTTTTTTTTATTCAGGATGCTTTCATGTTGGTTGAACCAAAAGATAAGGAGCCAGATGTATTATCAGTGACTGTTCCAAATTCTAAACTAGGCCAAAAGTAAGTAGCCCAACACCTGCAAGAATACACACCTGCATTATCCTTATTTTGAACACCTGTTTTTGTGGGCTTTTTTTTTTTTTATTGAAATGCTGTTATGTCTTTGTATGGAAAATCTGAATAATATTCTCATATTTATTCCTTTACTATATTGAACATTTATATTTAGTTTATTTTGATTTACTTACCTGGGTAAACTGATTTATGTAAAGTTTTCTTTGTGCTGTGATTCTCAATGTAAACAAGAAAATTTGTATTGAAACATGTGATAATCGCACATGTTAAGTTCATGTATTGAACACCTGTAATTTGCTTATATTGAACACCCGTAATGTACTTTTATTGAACACCTGTAATGTTTTTGTTTTGAACATTCTTTTACATTCTTCTAATGTTCATATATTATACCCTGTTAAGTCCCATAATAAACACCTGTAATGTTCTTTTACATACTGCAAGTAATATTAATGGATTATTATGCCCATTGTAGTGCCCCCATATATATTTTTAATTGTTATTGAACACCTGTAATTGTTTGGTAGTAACTCCAATATATACCCTAATCCACCGTTCCACAACCTATGGGTCGCGACCCATCGTTTGGGTCGCAAAAAAAAATTGATGGCTCGCATAATCTCTTCAGCTCATGAAAACTTTACTTAAAATGAACGAAGACAAACAAAATTAAGTTACAGTAAACAAAAGTGCAATTTAAGACAAGTGTGTCAGTTTACTTTTGTTTAATATGCGTGCGTTGTCACAGTTTCATGTTAAAAATATACTATCAAAACATTTGTACTTCAGGTATGACAACTTTAAAGTGTTAGTTTTGTTCATTTCAATGTGTTAGTCTTTCAGCTGCAAATTATAATGAGAAAACATTTTAAAGTTTAATGTGTCTATGTCTTCGCATAACCCATAAATCTCTGGCAGCACTAGGAATTTAAAATAAAATGTCTGTAGATTAATTATTAAAAATCTTCAACTTATTGAAAAATTTGATAACTTTAACATTATTTTGTTAAATGAGTAATATAAAGTTGTATTTTCATTTTTATGGGTTTTACAAAATTTTATTGACTTCAGGTTCGATGGGTCACGTCTGAGTGCTTGACATATAATTTGGGTTGTGGGCTAAAAAAGTTGCGGAACGGGGCCCAATCAATTTCTTTGTGTTTTTAATTTTGTAGCATACAACTTTTCATGTGAAATGTCTTGTTCTGTTCTACAAATGATAAATCGGTAGATAAGATTATACTTTACCTATTGATTTTGTCGACAGGCTACTTGGATTGACATGTGACTTAATTGATGATCTTGTGGAGGAATGGTTCCCAGGTTTGATGGAGATTGATCCCTTACTTGGCCGGCCATTGCTTCAGAAACAGGTCCCCTGCTCCTACTGCTCAGGTAAGGTACTGTAAAGTTAAATGACAGTGCCATTCACAAATTCATTAACTGCTTTAATACAGACCCCCTAGGGTGGCATTATCTTGATCGGCCCCACTTTCATCCTACTTTCAGCCCCCCTTTCGGACATCTCTGGATCCACCCCTGTAATGTCCTGCCTCAGTATCCTCTGTGATGAGTGTCATAGATGAACCTACCTGCAACCAAATGGTGCTAATTGTTACTCCAATGTTCAACCCACTTTCGGTGATGTTTAATAGGGTTTTCCTGTCAATAATTTTCCTTCTTTTACTATTCTTTTTTACATGATGTCTGGAACTTTTTACTTGTTGTATAGTACCCACTCATGAATTACATAGGTTATAAACAAAGTAATGATGGCAGCGGCAAGCACGGCCACACTCTGTGTCAAGGAAGCTTGAAAATGAGAAGGTCCTGACTATACATACTACATTACCTTGGATGTTAGAATATACATCAGTTAATAACTCAATTTGATTTGTTATAGCTCATGTTTTTGATGTGGATGACTTGTTACAACTTGCAAGTCAAGAAGAGCCTGCTGAGTGTAACACGCATGGTAAAGAGATTGACATTGCAAAGCTGGTATGTATCAATATCGTCAGTGGTACCTTAAAACCATAGCATAAACATATAGAAGTAGTATTTAGTGGCTGATAGTCCTTGGAATTAAAGAGAGCAACTTAGCTCATTTCGCTAAACTGATGGTAGTCACTGTGTGTGTGCTGCTCTTCTTGTGTTTGAGATTCCCATCGCTGCTTTACATATGTGTGGGATGGAGGGGTGAAATGCAAGTTTCAATAGCTCACCATCTTTTGAATGAGATGTTTAAGCCGTTGGCCTTGTGTGCACTATGGCCCATCTGCATGTTCAATAATGTATTACACTCTTCAGAAAAGAGTAGGGTATTGCCTTCCGGTGTACTTCCCAATCACCACCAGAAGGTCCCCACTGGAAATAAGTCTTCCTTGGACTTTTATGGTGTATCCTCATCGTTTACACTGAAGAAGTCCAATCCAATCCATGTGTGGGTGTGCCATCCTGCCACCGAGGGCTAACAGTAGCCTTTAGATTTAAATTTAAATAACTTTACCTGGAAATGCTTTTTATTAATTTTAAATAATTTGCTAAATATTTTTCTTTTTATGTATGGTTTTTGTTTTGTTATCAGGCCCCTGATTTGGCGCTAACTGATATCGAGGAGAAGTTTTATTTAGATAGGCGACATTTCCGGTTCAAAGAGAGGTATGTAGTGGTCCCTGTTCACTGCCCAGATTTATTTTTGAATGTATACATTAATTTATCAATCAATTGATTGCCATTGTAAAGCAAATGATAGATCCCAAAGTTGGAATTAAGTATATAAAATAATAACAAATTTAATTTATCACTCAATTAAACTTTATAAAACTAACAATGAACATTAGCAACAAAAACATATGATACATAATTTGAATAGATTTACAAAATACATACAGGGTACCTATTTATAGTTTCATATCTCCAGTAAAATAATTTGTAATCTAAAACTAAAAACACATAAATTTGGATAGACAAATCTTGTAGAAATATTTTGGTACATAACATTATTTGCAGTTTTGCAGTCCGGAAAACTTTTGTTTGCAATTTGGCAGCATAGCAGTAATTGAAAGTTTGGTACCAAAATAATTCTAGAAGCTTTTTCTATCCATTTTTAGTTTTACTTTACAAATTATTTTACCGGAGATATAAACTTTGAAAAAGTATCAAGATTTTGTTACTGTAATACTGCTAAGCATTAATTTTGTAATTATTTGTATAAGTAATTGTCATTAACTACATCCTTATTGATTGTCATGGCCATGATGAAAAACAGCATGTATTTGTTGATTTGTGCTTTGTGAATAAATACAATTTTAATAATTTTACTACAACTACTACTTCCTTCATTATAGCTCTGAGAATTTGCTTGGTGATGGTGGTTTTGGGTCAGTCTACAAAGGCATGTACAAAAATAAGGTAAAATTACATCATTGCAATGAGAAAACATTAACATTAGTACTAATTAATATTAGGTAATAATCAATGCCATAGCCAGGATTTTCAAACAACGTGGAACAATATCAGGGTGGACCCACTTTACGCGTTAATTCAAATAATAATAAAAATAATAATAATAATAATAGTAATGCAAAACTATTAATAATCTGGACCTATTTTACGCACAATATGAGAAATCTGGACCAATTTTCTGAAAAGTTGACCCATTTTACACAAAATATGAGAAATCTGGAACCATTTTTAAGATGTGGACCCATTATTTGTGGACCCAATAGAAAAATTGTGTTGGACTGTCCCAACTGTCCCAATATCTGGCTACGGCATTGGTAATATGTGGCTATACAAGTCTAAGAAAGTATAATACATGCTCCAAATATTAAAATCGTGTTGGGATTCAATATTTCATCATCACTAATATGAGTCTAATTCTTTAAATATGTTCTGTCTGCCAATAATTGCAGAAACCTAAAAATTTCAATAAACATTTAAAATAGATAATTAATAAGACGATCACAAAAAACCAAAAACAGATAGAAAAAAATAGTTTTTTGGTGATTTATATTCATTTTACCACAAAAAAAATCCTTTAATTAGTTACCAGCCAACTTTGTCTGTGCAAAAGAATACAGAAAATGTAAAATTTAACTGTCTGTTAATTGATGGGGACATTTTTTTCTCATTTAAATTTTAAATGTACGGTAATACAAATTAGGAAATTCAAACATGGAATTGAGATTTTCTTTTTTTTAGCTCATATTATTATATCCAATCCAGCTAATCCTTATATTTCATGACATTTATTGTTTTCATTTATTTTTTAAGCAAGTAGCAGTGAAGGTGTTTAACAGGATTGGTGATATCCACCCTCACAGGATGCTGCGACAGGAGGTATGTAGCTTTACTGGTTTTCATGTCATTGTCACTCAAATGCCCTGCTCTACTACTTTCACAGACTTAACAACTACTATATTGTATATCATTCAAATCCTGTAAAACTGATTACTGCTGATAGACTACAATAAATAATGGGTTCCTCTGTACTCTCACCTCCCCCCTCCCCCCCGCCACCAAACTTTATCTATTTAATCTCTTGACAAACCAGAACAATTGACATTTTTTAAATGTAAGTCAATAAAAAGAGAATTTAAATCAAAGTCTTGATACTCTGTAGATTTCAGTGCTCCGTCATCTTCGTCATCCTAGCTTAATCTCACTAGAAGCTGTTGGGATAAACCCACGAATGTTGATCATGGAATATGCATCGTCTGGCGCCCTCTCTTCAATCTGGAAGTCTGGTTACAGAACGTTAACCAGGAGTCAGCAGCATAGGATTGCATTACAGGTTAGGATAACTTTTATCAATAAAATAATGCTGGTTAAGTCTAGAGAGCCCACTCTGGTCTTTACTCGCGACAGCATTGTTGTCTTTTGCAGTGGGCAGTAGTAGAGCCCAGGGCCTATTCTGGTGTAGAAGTTACTGGAGCTGCCCAGCATACTGCCTAAGCCTGCGTGCACCCGGGTGTGACAACGATGTTGTTTCGACATCGGTAGGTGGAGCCCTATTCTGGATACGTATACCAAAAATGCATATATGCTTATCAGAATTGTCAGTCAAAATTACTTAATGCTTGTTGCTTTTGTTGTAAAGCACACTGAGATTTTTCTCTGCAGAATGAGCAATAAAAGATTGGACTTATTATTATAATTATTATATATGTCATGTATGCATCAAAACTTAGTCACTTGCATCACCACTGAATAAATTATTTTATTTTATTGTTTACTTTGTATGAGTTTTTACAAGAAAAAACTGCCAGAGTTCCGACTGCCTTGATTTTGTATGTAGCAAGGTATGCATTCAATGGAACGCTAAAAGTACTGCCACAAAATAGGGGGCGCCATACACATAATTTAGAAACACGTACGCGTTGCTTGATCTTAAAGACCACGCCTTTCATGAAAGTACTTTTTTGCATTTCAACAAATCCCTGACAGTCGGACCTCTTGCAGTTTTATACTCTTTGCTAATAACTATGTCTTACACCCCACCCCCACTAAATTAATCGTACAAAATGTTGTATCTTCTTAGGTTGCTGAGGGTTTGGTGTTTTTGCATGAGAACAACATTGTCTATCGTGACCTGAAGCCCGACAACATCTTAATCTTCTCTCTCAATCTAGGAATGATGGTAAGTTTAAAGACCACAAAAACCTGCTTTAATACAGCACTTTTGCTAAAGCCACAAGCACTGGCAAATCTTCTCTGTACCTTACATATGTAACACAAAGTTTTTGCGCTGAATAAGGGTAACAGAGTACACTGGCCTTATTTACAATGTTTAAAAATTATTGAATAGTGGAATGTCTTGCAATAACAATCCCCCCTCAAAAACCAGTTTTGCAAAAAAGAATATGCAACTTTGATTTGCTCATTTAATAGATCTACATGAACTATCATCTTTCAATAAGTCATAAAAACAACTTCTCGTAATCTTAAACACTCTGATGAGGGTAGTATAATGAGGCAGTAGAGCTAAAAAAGATCTGTTAATCAATCAGCCAATTATTGCTAGAACTCACTCATGAGGGCAGTATAAAAGAGGCATTTAATCTAAAAAAGATCTATTAATCAATCAACCAAGTTTTTCTACAGCTCCTCATCGGAACTAAAACAAGTTTTTTAATGATACCACTATAACTAATACTAGTGAAAATTACTTAGGTTATGGTTTTTTATATAAGTATCAGTGTATTCACACAAAGTATACATATATAGTTGTTTTTGTGTGGAGCTGGGCACACACTCATTAGCTCAACCCACCCTCGATAAACTAACGTTACGTTATCTCACTATATTAATTGGATTTACACATTATCAAGGATAATTACTGAGTGTTTAACACTGGTGTCCTTGGATTCAATTATAGGTAAACGGATAAATTGACTTTTTTTATGAGGTTTTAATTGTTCTTTACCGCCGAAAGTGCGGTATTCTAACGTTAGTTTAAGGAGGGCTGGTCGGCCTAATGTGCATTGATGGTCATCGGCTGATGTATATCAAATTTAAAACATAAGCACTGAGGCACGTACAGAACAGATAATATTTAGGATAATCAGGTTCGAGTCCCACACGAGAACAACTTGCGACTTTTTTCACAATTGTTTTCAAACGTACTGAGTATTCAGTACATTTCCATGTCAGGTAGGGCAAAATTACACCTATAGATAATTTTTAATGACAATTTGCTCAGTCAACAATTGAAAATCAAGCAGAGTGTATTGTGACAGTTGTACAACATAGGGTGTGTATTTCCATACCTATTTTGTCATCATCTGATGAGAACCTAGATAATCAACCTTGTCTGATTTTTTAAACAGATTAACGCAAAGATCGCTGACTACGGTATTTCCAAGTTTACAACACGTTACGGTTTGAAGTCCAGTGAAGGCACACCAGGCTACAGAGCACCAGAGGTCATCAGAGGAACAGCAACATACAACAC